TCCTCTCGCGAGCATCTTCATTCTTGTCATTCCAGGGTGTCCCTCATGTAACTGCTTCAGAACGGCTTGTCTCAGCGAGGCTGGAATGACTATTCTGTGGGCGAAATACAAACATCCGTTCTGCACTGATAAATTTTATCTCAGTGCTCTCCAATTTCGGACTTCTTCTTTCGGCTTGGACGTTCATGCTCCCGTTTGCAGCATTCGTATAACTTGCGCAATTGTTTCGTCCTTGCGGGATTCTTCTTCTATCTTCCTTCGGGTTACTGGTAACGCTCGTACAGCAGCAGCTTGGACGGCTCGCACATCTTCTTCTATTTTCGCTATGACGACGTCTTCGGTTTGGAATGGCCTTGGAGGGATCAGTCGGGACAGCGCATCGGCTTGTCCGAATTCGGTCGTCTTGCGGTACTCCAGGTCGAAGTCGTATGCGAGTAAAATGAGCTTCCATCGTTGTAACCTGTTCGCTGTGTACACAGGCACCATCTTCTTGGGTCCAAAGATGTGTAGCAGCGGCTTGTGATCAGTAAGCAATCTGAACCGTCGTCCGTATATATACCGATGGAACTTACGAACTGCGAACACCAGTGCTAGTCCTTCTTTCTCAATTTGTCCGTAGTTCCGTTCTGCTGCTGTGAGGCTTCGACTTGCATGGCAAATAGCCTTCTCGTTCCATCTGGCATCTTGTGCAGAATCACAGCTCCTATTCCGTAGTCCGATGCGTCGGCAGCTACCACTATCTGCAATTTCGGATCGAAATGTGTGAGAAGTAGATCCGAGGCTAGAACCTCCTTGGCACGCTCAAATGCATTTTGACACTCTTCTGTCCATTCAAACTTCGCGTCCTTTTTGAGCAATGCGTCCAGGGGTGCACGAAGTTGGCGCATCTCTGCTACGAACAATCCATAGTAGTTGATCATCCCGAGGAAGGATCGAACATCCGCTATGTTCTTCGGAGCTGGCATCTGTTGAATAACCTCGATCTTCTTTGGATCCGGCCGGCGTCCGTTTTTGTCGATGATGCAACCTAAGTAACAGATCTCTGGCATCAGAAAGTTGCATTTTTCCAACCTGACGTGGAATCCGTAATCCTTGATTCGCTTGAACAGGGCTTCCAAGTTTTGGCGATGCTCCTCATAACTCCTTCCAGTGATGATGATGTCATCAAGATAAGCGGCTACTCCATCAAGTCCGCTTATCATGGAATCCATGATCTGTTGGAATATACCTGGAGCCGATTTCACTCCAAAGAGAAGACGATTGTATCGATACAATCCCTTGTGCGTATTGATAGTTAGCATCTCCTTCGATGCTTCCTCAACTTCCACTTGTAGATATGCCTCGGCCAAATCGAGCTGAGTGAAGAGCTGGCCTCCATTGAGTTTGGTGAACACATCCTCTGTGGGCAACGGGTGCTGATGCAGCTGCAATGCATCGTTGAGTCCTGTTGAGAAGTCGGCGCATAAACGAATCCTGCCATTCTTCTTCTTGACGGCGACTATTGGAGCGGCCCACTCTGAGTGCTCTACAGCAGAAATGACTCCTTCGGCAACCAGCCGATCAATTTCTGCCTCCAGTTCCGGTGCTGTGGCGTATGGAACTGGTCTCTTCTTCTTGAAGACTGGGACAGCATCCTTCTTCAAGACTAACCTGGCCTTGCTCTTCTTACATTTCCCTAGTTCGCTCTTGAAGACATCCGGATACTTGTTCTTCAAGTCGGCGACAACTTCGGCTCGAATTGCTTCTTCGCTAGTCACCTTCCTGCAGTTATACTTGGTCTTCAGTTTCTTGTAGGCTGGCAATTGGATGCACCACTCCAATCCCAGGAGATTCGAGCCTTCGGTGACATAGCAGGTTCCTCTTCCATGGACCATCCGTCCTGTAACTCGATCTTTGACCTTCTAATCGGTTGAAAATTTACCATCGATCTGCATTGGTGTCCCATCTGCAGTTTTGACAGGCATCACGCACGGTTCTAAAGCTGGAGATCCTATCCTCTTCCAGGCTTTACGAGATATCAGCGTTATATCCGCACCCGTGTCTAGCTGGAGCTTGAGGGGACATCCTTTCACAACAACGTCAAGGTAGGTGCGGGCGTTCTCGGCGTCGAAGGCGACCACGTTCTTGCATTGTCTTCTTCGACCATAGGGCTGAGTTCCTGTCTTCCGTCGCTTCCTTCGGCAAGTTCTAGCTGATTGTGGACAATCTCTGCTGAAATGCGGACCTCCACATCTGAAACAATCAACCTTTTTCTTCCACACCGCATGAACATCGCGGGTTCCCTCCATATCCGTGTTGTCCATCTTCGAAGCGGTGTAATTCTCGCATTCGCTGACCAAGTCCTCGATGGTCAGCGGAGTTTCATCCGTATGTGCATCCAGTCTGCGAATCATCCTGAGGCGGACGTCTCGCAATGACGGGTCTTGAAGACCGGCCACGAATTGTAGGGTCTTCATTGCAGTGTAGTCGAGCTGCTTGAGTCGAGCGTCCTCATCCATCCGCTTGATTGTGTTGGCGTATTCTCGGAAGGGTACACACGTCGGCGTAAGCGGTGGGCAGGTGACGCGTAGGCACTCGAATCTTCTCCTTATCAGCGTCTTCTTGGATGCAAACAGCTTCTGAAGTTTTTCGATAGTTGTACTAAAATCCAAGTCGTGTGGCTTTGCAGGCAGGACTTCATCTGCATACTTCCGGTATGCTTCTTCGTCCAGCTTCATGAGGACCAGGTCACGCTTCTTGTTGTCTGGCAACAAGGACTCGCTTATGACCGGTCCGTACCTGCTATACCAGTAGGCAAAGGTATTACCTGTGTCTTCATCGGAGACGAACCTTTGCACATCCTTGCTCAGCTGATCGTATTGATCCTTGCTGGCATCGTGTACGGCTACACTCTGGTTGTTGGCCAGAGTAGCGATTAGCATCCTCATTTGCTCCTGTTGAGCTTGCATCTGGATCCGAACTTCTTCTTGTTGAAGCCGCATCTGCTCCATCATCACGTTGAGGACCTTCTCCAGATCCGCCGCATGCCGCTCTTCTGCAACCTTCGGCATGTTTCCGCTGCAACGACGAGATTTCGCGCTCTCGTCGATCGATTCCTCAAAGAGAACTTATCTGGAGAAGTTGTCCTTGAAGTCGACTGGAGGCTTCTTCTTCTCCTTGGTCGGCGGTGGAGCTTCTTCTCGTCCTCGGTTGGTGGTGGAGTTCTTCTTGTCCTTGATCCTGATCGCCAGTTGATGTGGAACGCGTTGAGCCGTTGACGATTTATTAGAAAAACACAAGAGTTCCCCCTCTGCCTATCGGCGTACATGCCGAGGGTTCACTAGGAATAACTAGAGAACAACACACACAAATATATCAAGGTGCGGCGGGTACGCCGCAACCACAGAGACCATGTCGACCTAGCCTATAGTGAGCGAGCAAGTTCTAATATAAGGGACGGCTCTACAACATATCTACCTGCTATTTGTACTTTTTCGGAGATTAGGTAGCCGAACTTGACCATGGCAAAAAGCATAAGTCGCAGATTCTGGTAATTTTTCGAGAGCTCGTCAAACATTATGCAGTGAAATTAGAACCATTAGAAAGAGGATGAAATGCTGCATCGAATGCTCCTAAGATCTCTTGAAAATGTTGATTCCACGAATAGTGGCGTTCTTTCGAAAAAGGCGACATTACTTTCGGAACGACCTGATAATATGCATGATAAATACAACTTATATTATACATGATATATACCATAAAACATATGGCATATAGCATGATTCGATTTCAAAAATTCTAATGACATTCCTATAATTTTCGATGCAGACTTCTAGGACAACCAGACAATTTCCAATACTATTATCTGATATTTCCCCATGTCATCGAAACGTGAAAAAACCTAGACAGATTTCACTCCCAATAAATGTTTTTATTTAGCAAGCGATCCCACTTCATGCTTCATTTAGATACAGGGTGTCCCAAAAGTATGTATACACTGTTTGATCGTTAATATCCCTCTTCCCAAGAAGTTTTTTGCTTTGCTTCAGGTACCATTTTGTAGAGCTGGCTTCAACTTAGAGTTACAGTATGGAGAGAATCGCCGACCACTCTTCATCACTGTAGGATTACGGTAGAAACTTGAAACATGTGGTGTCAATGTGGAAAAAGCTGCCATTTCAAAATTTTTCAAAAAAAATGTGAAAACTTGTGTAATTGGATTTTTATGGACGCTGAGTTCAATACTCAACTATTCACAAGATTGCGAAGCCTTCTCAACGGTGTAACCGCACTTTTTAGGATCATTGAAAAAATGGCCGCTACCTCTTATCTGGCATAACTCTTCAATGAAGCATCATAATAAGTTGGGAACTTTACAGTTAGAATCAGCAACTCTAATTAGCCTAGTGTAAAAGTTTTCAGTCTACTTTGTTTTTTTTTCTTGAGGCAAAATACGGTCTTTCATGGCTCAAAACCCTCCTTGAAGTTTATACCGTAATCCTACAGTAATGAAGAAAAATGGGTGATCCGTTTTATAATGCAAATCTAAGTTGAAGCCAGCTCTACAAAATGGTACCTGAAGCAAGGCAAAAAAACTTCGTGGGAATAGAGATTAACGATCAAACAGAGTATACATACTTTTGGGACACCCTGTATATAGCAGGTAGTGAGTGAAGTCTTTTCATAGCTAGAGAGGTACAAACAAAGCTTTGAAAAGGCTATGAATGCAATAAAAACGAAGGACCTTAAGAGTACAACCTTGTTTTCACTGGACAACACAAACCAAGTGATACTGTCACTATAATCGCCTATTGTGGTGGGATTGGATGTCATGAAAAAATTCTTTGCTATGTCAACTCTACACTCTGTTTCAACCCAAAGTAGACCAAAATTGGGATGACGCGCCTCCGTTATTGTGCTTTGAAACCTCAGCGAAACGAACCGCCCCATACAAAATTCCGCTTACATCGGATTAGAAAACAGAGTGTATATCCACCATGTACAGAAAGTTGAAAACTCACTAACGCAAAGTTCTGTGCCGTATCGCCCGCAACCGGATCTACTCCAATGATTTCACAATTGAAGAGCAAATTGCGTTTCAACTAAAGAATGCATATAAGAATAAAGCTTGCTCAAACTAAGTGTCATTAAAGGATTTCTGCTGACCTGCACTTCAACGGTTAAATTAGGTGTAAGGCCTACGAAGACAAATCCGTAGCATTTCCTCTCGGGTGCGTCTTTTGTATCTTCCGTGATCTGAACAAAACAGATACACTCTGTGTCTGCATAGATATACATATAGGCTATTCTTGGCGCGCAAAGACTGCGGACATGTCGGCCTCTCTCTGATCAAGCGCTCTTTCGTTTCACTTACCATCTGCTGCCTCTCCCATGCACGAACTATCTTGGCCGGACGCAACGGCGCCCAGTCTTTGCGTGTCATGAATCTTGTATACACACCCGCAACGCGAAGGCGTTCGTGGGGACTTTTGGTCGATGAAGCCTTTCCGTAGAAACGACCCTCTTATACAGAGTTTGAGAGAGTATGTTCCTTTTTGTTATATAGGAATTCGGTTACGTCTCAAACACGTTCCCACCAATGCGCTCATTTTTTCGTACCTCAATTTTCGGAGTCATGCTATATCTCCAATCATATTTGTCGCCAAATCGATAAACTTCCATTTTCTCAAATGACGGTGCACATCGATCGGAGATGAAGGGAAGTAGTGGAATGAACTGAGTGATTTCAAATGTTTGATGGATTCAGAGCTTTGAATACCAACATTTTCGAGTTTGAGCAAACTCCAGTACTTGTGGTAACATTGATTTGTCCTAGCAAAAAATCCACTTTTTTCTGTCTCCTACAAATTGTTTAAAATAAGCGCAAAAAAAGGAGAAAACATGAAGCTAACCTGAACAATTATAGTAATTCGAAAGATGGCGACGGTGATAACGATAGCATAAACGATAACCACTTGACATCTTATGGAAGCATATGGTTTGAGGCTAAGCATTGTCATCATGCATGCTATGCTTTGCCGCTACATCCTACATCCCCAGCATTATAGTAATCGCTATAAAAATCTCCGACTAGTTTATCTTACAACCTATTATGTCGCCAAGATGATATCTGTATAGCACGAACGTTTTCAGCAGGTATGACAAACGCGTTCGTTGCAGATCTCGGGACTAAGGTACGCAGTTTCGCATAGGCCGAACGAGAACCAAGAAGGTTAAAACATAGTATCAGAAGACATCTTTCGGGTCCCATTTACAAAGCGCTGACTTAGAATTTTAGGCAGTGGCGGACCGAGGGGGAGGGGGAGGGGGGGGGGCACATTCCCCAAAAAATTTTCCCGTCTCCCAATTCGTAACCTACGCCACGCACCTCTATCCAAATGAATTTTTGTTGCGCCCTTTCCCCCTCCTCCCACCCCCGAAGGAATTCCTGAAACCACCAGTGATTTTAGGGTAACGTCTATGGCAATCAGAATTTTGTTCTGGGATCAGTCAGGTACACAGACAAGCCTGAATGAAGAAATTAACGGAGACCATTAGAGAAAAAAGATCCGACTTTTTCGTATTGTCCTTTTCCTTGTTAGTGTTAAAGTAAGTTAAATACACTGCCAGACCACTGTAACCGAGCACTTTGTCCCTCATTCTAATCGTGAGACTTCCCACGCTGATATAAAAGTTGATATGCAGAAAAACAAAGTTAGGCAATATTTAATTCCTCCGCATAACATGAACAACATAAGATATTTTACAGAGAAAAATACAATAACGACAGCTTAGAGATCGCCGACAACAACTCAACTCATATAACGACGTAATTGAAAACACAACGGATGGAAATAACTCAGATGACATCCAGCGGTAAGATTCGCTACCCTCGGAAACCTGCCGGACCTCCACGGACTGCGCCACGAACAGCGCCTCGAGCCATTCCAGCGCCCCTAATGAAAATTCAGTACAGTAACGAACACTGAGAACTCCAAAAAGTGTGAAAAGGCAAAAATAAAGATAAAAACAAGAGATAGTGGATCAAATCAAATTGAATTCACCTTGCACGGAACGATGTTCCTCGGCCGCCACGACCTCCTCTTGGATCGCCTCCCATACCCATACCAATAGCACCCTAGAGGATAAAGCAATGATGATCTCGAACAGAATGACTGCAGAACTGAAGAACGCATACATACCTTTTGAGCTCGACCAATATTTTTGAACATAGGAGCATTCTTGAGCATATCCGGTAATATCATAAAACGGATCTGTAAAGGACTGGATTCGTGTTGCATATGCGTAGCCAATTTTGGAGAGAGGAATCACCTTATTTCCTCGCACAAAAACGTTATCAAGCTGATGGGTTCGACCATCTCGGAATGTGACACATACTTCAGCCATTTGACAATTCATGTTGTCCTCAGCTTCCAACAACTTACCGCGATATACCTCACCTGAAATTTGATCAATATGAATAAATTGGAATACTTAAAAGCATTCAGAAAAGTATACCTGTGACGGTTTCTAGAGTCACGACATGTCCTTCGGCTTCGTGCAAAATTTTGATGGGCACACCAACTGATGTCATTTTCTGCAAAATATTCTCACTGAACAAACTGCATGTTTGTGAGGGAAGCAAAACGCGAGAGATTTGAGAAATAAGAGCTCGAAAAAAAAAAGACTCTAAATTCAACCATGAGCAGAAACATTCAGTCATTGCGAAGATCAATGTTACCTATGGATCACCTTGGTTATCTACAGCACACGAGCGTATGTGTAGAAAGGGATATAGCTAAGACCCTCCTAAGTTTTCGTTCAAGCTGATGACCAGTTGTATTAAAAATCCCTGGTGAATAGCGCAAAGTGCTTTTAACAAAAAGCTTTCTTTGATTTTTGACTCAGTCACATAGGAATCGTGGAGCTCTATTTAGACCAAAACAATCTCTCTCCAGTATTCTTAGAAAAGCTTTCATAAACAAAACTTCGCAAAAAAATTTTTATGTCCTACTACTAAGGAGCTGATCCCATTACAATTTAAAGCTGCTTTATGCTGGTTTTATCCTCTGAAAAACCCAAAATATCCGTCTCTGAACCTTAAGCATGATCTACAGTACGGCGCTTTGAATTCAAACGTCGCAGCATTCGGATGCATATGCACTATCCAATTATACGAACGTTGCTTTTCCCGAGTTCCACATTCATGAACATTTAGGGTTGACACAATGATAACCGTGGATTCAGTTGAAACTTCGTCTAGGAAGTTGTTTTGCACGCTGGTTACAAATACCACATCTATTCCGCACGGTAGTGCTATCTCATCTGATGGAGTCACTGTAGTATTTGTGGGTCAAAATCACTGACTTGCTTGAACCTTTGTCTAGGTAGAAAGGCATGCGGAACACTAATATCGTATTCATTTTGCACGGTAGCGCCATTTTGGACTACGGTGGGTTGAAGTGGCTCAGAATTTCGCCTGGAGAATTAGTGAGCATGCTGATTAGGAATATAATGCTCGCTCGCTGCAACGAACTCCTTAACGTACTTATGGGGGTTAGGTTACAGCAAATAACTGAAAAAACTTTCCTGCTTTGCGCACAATCCAAATCCCAAGAATCCATGGATCCTCATCAAACGAATTGAGACAATATATCGTGCATCCCCCAGAATTGAACCATCCATCATGTGGCTGTCTTTCGATCATTTTAAAAGTTAACTCCAGCAAATTTAAGGCGCTTATTTAAAGTTGACATGTTGAAATGATCGAAAGGCAGCTACGTTGATGATTCATATGGGAAATTCTGGGCGATGCGCTATCGATAATCAGCCTGCCAAATAACTCCGCGGCGCAAAGTCTGGCAGATCTACTACTTTGGCCTCATATTGTGCACCTATCATAGATTCGTGAAAAGGTCTCAGAACACAAAAAGAGTATGTATTTACAACTAGCATCCTTGAGAATCCTCTAAGCGAATTTTGAGGAAATTTGGAACTTTGACCTATCTACGATCCAGCGTAACCCGAAAAAGTGCCATCAAGCGAAACGAATATGGTGTCCACAGCGTGCCAAATAACCCTCCCCCCCCCCCCCCGCCCATCCAAACGAAGTTTTGGGCAGGTCCTTGAATTTGACTCCCTACCGTCATCCTACCTTAACTCCAAGATAGCACTACAGTGAGCAGTACGTGTGCTACTCGTAATATGCTTGCAGAATCCCCCCCCCCCCACGGATTTTCTCTGGGTCAACTTGAGCGGAATAGCGCCGAAATTGCCAGGAAGCTTCCAAATCTTCGAAGAAAATGACAGGCAAAATGTGAACAGCCGAAATACGCCTTTAATCCGGGGCCTGCTATTGCCGAAATCGTTTACACACAATTCAGCATGGTAAAATATGCAAATGCAAAGAAACCAAGAAAGGTGTGAAAAGATGGTAAAGCCCTAGAAACATATACGAAAGCAACATTCAGAACTAAACAGATAACGCTGAGAAAGTTGTTCTCGTTCTCGAGACAATATTCGAATGTTGAACGGCAAGCAACCGCGACGCAAGCGCAACGCTGCGGATTCAGACTGGAGCGCAAGTTCTGCACAGCGCAGCATTTTTTGCGCTTCAGAATAAATTCCCATTTTTCAGCGTCGTCTGAGTATTCATCTTGTTTTCTTTAGGCGTGTTTTTGAGTCTTTTTAGTACTGATGTTAACTCTGCTGATTTCGAAGATTCCCAGTCTGCGGTCGAAGATCTGATCTATGTTCCACGCTGCAGTGTTTTTTCTATTTTGACGTCGTCATGTTGTCCAAAGATTTTGTTAAGAGCCTTTGACGTATCTAAATAGGCACTAAACGCCTGCCTTTGAATCCATGTTCATTAAACAATCCATAGAAGCTCAAGACGTTAGGCTTTCTCTTCCTAAACGTAAAAGTTGCTGGCTTATCGGTCACTCAGAGTCTTGAACTTTGTTTTTGTGTGAATTACACTCCCATCGAAAGATTGAGGCAAAGCATTTTATAGTCAGATGGATCGACGCAGCTGCAGGAATCTCCATTTCGGTCTGTCACTTGACTTTAGCTTTTTACAAGGAATCTCATCAAATGCTTAGGGATCACATCACTTTTTTGCTTAGGGATCACATCACTTTTTATTCAAGTTATTGCAAACGTCATCATGTCAAAAGTTTAAATCACGAACTGCTTCGATTTTGTAGTGCGCGGAATGAATACATTTTTCGTAGTTCACGTTGTCGAACGATAAAAGAGCCCCGAGACAGAGTTTGGTTGCTGGCCCTGACCATAGTGGTTTTCCTTATCATTTATATCGCTATTATCAGCTCTTATAGTGGCCATCGCAATCCATTACAGGAAGCACCAAAGTAGAAATCAATTGCCACAGTGCTTGGAACACAAACCATCCGACAATTAGTCCATTATCGAAATTTTGGAGTTGATGCCAAATAATGTTAAGTGCATCCAGCTGCATAATGATTTTAAAGAGCTTGCGCTTTTTCTCTGAATGCGAACTCTTTTTCCATAGTCTTATTTGAATCTGCTACAATGCAGTTGTTTTTGCATTACATTCTTGCGTGTAAGCTTGGTGAACAGCATGACACTATATTAGACTAGGTGGAGGCGGAGGTAGTTTAGCTGCGTGGGAACTGTAAATTTCGCGATCTCTGTATAGTTGTGTCACCTAATACTCCAATATCATTTATTATTACATTATTATTATTAGCATTGTTCACATCATCATCAATATCGATTATAATATTATCTGATTACTTATTTCATTATCAGCGATATTAAATACGATTTGCTTTTGATTTCAGGACTGATATTGCGTAACGTATTTGAATCTGTTCTCCTTCAAATGGTAGTAAACATCCTAAAGTATCTAAGTTCTAGTTTTCGACCTACTTAGGTTGCAGTTTTTATTCTGGCTTTCCTATTTTGTGATATAACCGCTAAGCACATCTTCCTCTTTTACATCATGCGCTTTACACATCGTCTTGTGACGGTGGCAAAAATATGACAAAGAGCACTTTGCTAGTTGTGTTTCTGTGTACTTGCAGTGACTCATTTTCTTATTGAGTCTGTCTCCAGTATTTCAACACACAACGTCTTATGTTGTCATCGTTCTCTTAATATGAAATTGCAAATTTTTTTTAGGTAATGCTACTCTGATGTAAATGCGATTATTTACACCGAGTTGTCTCATCAATAATGATTTCGCCCTCTTCTCAGTTTTATATCGTACTTGGCATAGCTTTATTTATTGGAACATTTGGTATCGATGGAATAATCGTCCTTCTCATTTGCATCCTATGTTTTGTTGGCGGGTGAGTTCAATTTTGAATTTTTACCATTTTTTACTCACTTGATATTGATATTTTGCACATTCTCTCATGCATTCATTCCGAGTAATCGTTGAAACGAATTGCTTTTCTGCTTTTTAGGTTTTGTTATATTATTTATCGTCGTGGGGAGGAAAAATCCAAAGATCTCCGAACAGACTTCGAATCTCTCAAAGATTTCAAATTTCCCCCTGGTCTTGAGGCTTTCCTGAAGCACAAGGGACGTTTCAATGACAAATCCATGTATGAACAAATTCACTCTATGACCAACTGCTCTGGGATGGATGCTGTTTTGGAACAGGTAGGGTTTTTTTATGATAGTGTATCTTTATCGTTACATTGACTGCTTTCATCGGTGATTCAAAGCTCATATTTAGAATTAAGAATAAGATTTACCCACATAAAGTTGCGTTGGTATTGGTTATGCTCTATTTAATCTCGTTGTATTTTCTTTGCGGGTGATTCCTTTGGTTTGTCTTAAAGCCATTTGTACTGAGCGCGCTAAGTTCGTCTCCAATTGGGGACGTAGATTCTCTCATTTCATGTCAGAAGTATCGACTGGAAATTAGAAGTGCTAAGCTATCGATCATCTTTGAATTTGAAGAGAAATTCAGCTCTTTGAACAGTTTCGCAGCATTTGTGCAATTATAAATTCTCAAATCTGTATGTTCGGTGCTCTTTGCTAGTTCAAGTACGTGAATATATAAAATCAAAAAATGTGTTCGACAAGAAGTTGTGCGCGTACTGCTGTGTGAAGTTGCTTAAATTTTTTACTATATCTTTCTTTACATCTTTCTCAGTAGAATGTTTTGCAGATCCTCTCTTATGTGATGAGAGACTTTGTGGATTCGTGGTACAAGAAGATGACAGACGATGAATTGTTTGAAGAGAGCTTGAAAAGAACTGCTCGAAGATCTGTTGCATCGTTATCTCAATGGTTGGTATACATGTATCATCTGTTTAAAGAACTATTTGCTTTTGTTTCGTTTGCTACTGCTAGACTTTACAGTATGCGACAAGTGGACTGGGTTCCTTTTTTCACCCGACACGCTGTTGATGATTTCGCTTCTCATCTCCGGCTTTATCGCATGGCAAGCGAGAAATATAAGTTTATGGGGAACAAAGGTCTATAATTCGATGAACTGAGAACAAGGTGTACCAAAAAAAGCTTTTTCAGATGGTATGACAACGGCGGAAAATGACTTGCTGAGTCATTTCTTTGACTATGAGCTAGAAATGGAGAAGACTTTATGCAAAGATCTGTTGTGCACCACGCCACATTATGAGAATGGTTCGTAATTTGAGATTATCCGTGAAATCTCAAGACTATTTTCAGCTTATCTACATGACGTTGTCGATATTGTTTTGTACCTTATCATGCCCCCTGAAGATTTTCGTTGCAGGCCATTGAGGTTTTTGCTTCGAGAAGTAATCGGTAAGCATCAATATTCTCGGTTTATCAATAAATCCAGTCGTTCAGTACGGCGAATAATTCTGCCTTTGCTCGATCATTTTTCCGAAGCAGATGAGATGAATCAAATTCTGATATGGCTGGTAAATGCTTATTTTGTCACTGCATTGCCTGTGTATACTCGACCCCATCTTAGCTCAGCGAAATCTCACCGCGTCCGGATGATTTTGTCGTTTGTCTTGAAAACAGCAATTCGCTTGATGAGCTGGAGGCCATTTTCAGATCGGTCCAGGATGAAAAGATGATTTTGCGCGGAAAAGATTCCGGTGGTGACCAAGGCAAGTGCGGCTACATTTTGACTATCATCTATTACTGGCGATAATAGTGTTTTCCCGAAAAGCATATTGCGGAAGAGCATACGTTTAGGTGTTTTTGTGAAGCAACAGCTTAGCAGTTTGGATTTTGTGGAGAGTCTCATCAAGAAAAGATTGATCTTTTTGGCCAACAACACTGTTGACAATGGTGGATTGGATGTGGTGAGTTGCATAGCCTTCGTCAGTCATTATTTGCTTTTTCTTATTCTTTGCTCTGCTTTCAATATGCTCCGCATAGCTCTATATCAGCAACGAGTAGGGCAGAGTCTTTAACATCACGCCACTTACCGAAAGAAACTTGTCGTTATCGGAAGTTTCTGCGATTTTTTCGTATTTGTTTGAGTTGAGTTTACCACGTGAAGATGTTCAACCTATAGAGTTGGATAGAGTTGGTCTCATGTTGAAAGTATCAAAAAGAGTAGCTTTGACTGATTACAGTGCATGAAAGATAGTCGATAACTGCCACATCGTACTATTGTGGTGGTGAACCGTTCTTATCAGCTGGGAAGTATAGGCTGCTGCATGACGAAAGCGCAATATCTTTAGGCGCGAACGCGGCTTTATTAGCCGCAGAGCACATTAGGCGCAGGATTTACAACGGTGAGGGATCGTTCATACCGCGCACAAAGGCGGACGAAGCCGGACGAAGCCGGACAAAGGCGGACGAAGCCGGACAAAGGCGGACGAAGGCGGGTCTCGTCTCGTCTCGTTTCTCTCGACACGCACACACACTCACACGCGCCTTCGTCCGCCTTTGTCCGGCTTCGTCCGGCTTCGTCCGCCTTTGTCCGGCTTCGTCCGGCTTCGACCGCCTTCGTCCGCCTTTGTGCGCGGTATGAACGATCCCTGAGGATACGCGCGCGCCGCGTTAGCGCCCGCTCAACTGATACTGCTTCTGTGCCTTCGTCATGCAGCAGCCTTTAGCTGTATGGATTGAAATGAGTTTGCTTGGCACGGTTTCTCGCAAAAGTCATGTTCTGCAAGCTGATTGACTTGCTTGTCATTTTATAGTATGCAAATTGCGTTTGCAAGCCGCTAATCTGCAATGCGATACGCATGTGTCCTCAATGGCTATTTTTGGTACACCCGCTGCAGAATGCGCTGCTTTTCCTTGAGTGGGGATAAACGTCTGGTTTAGAAGCTCCGCGGCTTTTTGTGTCGTTTTTCAAAAGTTGTGGAGGGTTGATTAGCTAATATAATTGTCGTATACGTAGTTAGCAATTACGGTAAATGTTGAATGTGGTAAATATCTAAACTCTTTGCTTACCGAAAAGGACAAAAGTGTGATGCTACTGTAAAAATCTCACAGTATTCATTACAGGCTCGAGTTCTCTCATCCGACGATGGCTTGGTACAGCTTCCCCTTCATGTTGTACTCACAAATGGAATTGCTGTATCATACTTCATCGACTATCTACAGACAGTTGGAGGACAAAATTACATAGATTTCTATCTTGCGATCGAGGTATTCTGACTTAATGATCTATCTGCTTGTGAGGGAATCATTTCAGGGTTTCAAAGTGTCAGTTGAGCATCAGCTTAGAACTCTTTCGAGCGGCGAAACGGTTTGTGCTGAAGTGTACGAAACTATCAAAGAGGCAGCGCAGTTCATGTACCAGCAGTATCTATCGCAAGAAGTATTTTCATCGAAGAGCATTGTTCTATTAGGAGCCAATATGCTTTAGGCAATAACGCGTGTACCGCTAGAAGATGGTATTATTGCCAAGTTCCTCTCGCTAGTAAGAAATGATGAACCATGCGACTTTTGGTTCGAGCAGATTCAAGAAAAGGTTTTCGAATTTTGTTTGTTTCTTCTGTTTTTTTTTACAAAAGAAGATTTTTTAAGGTTGTCGAAGTGCTGCGTACAGACGAGCATTTCTATCCTGGATTCAAAAAGAGCTCGTTATATGAGAAAATGCTTGCCGAATTGGGTATCACGGGCGATGATGAGCGACCAGAAACACCAGCCTCAGATGGGTCTATATACTCCGCTTCTAATACTTCGGATCAGGATCGAGGATCTAGCGTTAGTAAGGTGAGGAACATGCATAATGATTTTTTTAAATTCTTTAACACACGTTTTTACCTCAGTTATGTTATAAACGCATTTTCTTTTAGATTATTGAAGAAGGGATGGTTAATGATGGCAGACCGGTAATGTCGGCAGTTGTTGAAACACTCGGAATTGGTCAACAGGTTGGTGCTTGTACTAGTTCCATGCAGTATATTTTCTTCAATATTAATTCGTTTTTCTACCACTTTCGTAATTTTTGATCATGAATTAGTGTTTTGCAAATGAGCAATCCACGTTATAGGGCAGGCAGTCTTTTGCGCTGTATAACGTACGTGTGAGCAGATCGGTGAATGGCAAAAAAGTAAGCGGCTGGAATGTGCTACGACGCTATAGCGATTTCCATACGCTCCATACATTCATTATACAGAAGGTGTGAAGAGTGGTGTATATGTTTCACAACGTGATTTTAATATTTATTTAGTATCCCAAACTTATCAACTTGTCTTTCCCGGGGAAAAAGACCTTCAATAACCTGGACGCGCACTTTTTGGAGAAAAGGACGAAGGTGGGAACGTGGGTCTAAAGCAAGCTCTCCCAATGTTACAGTGTTTAGGCTCTCAATCTATTTATGGACTGTGTTCTGCAGCCCTCGATGTTTGATAGTTATCCTGAACTAGAAAATATCATGTTCGATTTTCTCAGCCAGAAGGAATACTTAGGAAACAGAGAACCAATAGCAAAAAAGGTCTGTTAAGCTTAGCACTGAACAAAAATAACAAAAAACAAAACAACACAATCGAAATGAACACTAGGTTTAGGTGATGTCCGCTATGTTTGATCCTATAAAAGAGGGCGTCAAAGCAGTGGGAAATACTGTGATGTCTGTTCCTGATCAGTTTTATGGAGGCGTGTCTAAAGTTGGTGCTGGCATTAATAGCGCAGCTAAAGTCATCATCGTGAGTCTTGGAGAATCTTGCTGAAGTTATTTCTCTTGTCAAACTTTCGTTTCAGCATCCACTGAATGCAGGCCCGAAAGCGCCACCAATCGATACTGACCGTGTTGCTGCAGCGATCACTGATGATGTAAGATACCTTTTTTCTTTCCTTTCTCATCTTTAGTAGTCCTTATATATGGCCAAAAAGCTTATCGGTTTGTGCTCATCTATCAGATATTATTGAGAAGTTTCCAGAAATCAAAATTCCAAGGTGTGAGTTTTTTGATGGTTTTTCCTTAGTTCTTTCAACTACATTTTTGCTAATATCGCAAGGCGCTGGATCATTATTCTTTGTTTTATCAGTTCCGTCGAGGAAAGAGTTTGGGTGCTTGTTGTAACGCTCAGTAGAGAATTATAAATCTCCCTATTCGCCATTTATATCTTTGCATTGGTGAGAAAAATGTAGCTGACCTCACTTCGCTTCCGTAGTCTTCTGCAGAGCGAACATAGTACAGTTCACCACTTCTTTCATCATTGTTGTTTTTCTATCGCGGTCCATCTCGTGCTGCTATTTTCATTGCAAACTTTTTTCTCAATTTTTTTGGGAGCTTGAATGTTTGAAGCTTGTCTTTTTCACATCTTGACAAATGATTATCCAGGAATCGACCTCTGACAACATACCTCTTCGAGTCTTGATCTTATTCGTTGACGAGGTTTTCGGGGTCCGCGCGAGAAATGCATGGTTCAGGCGGCAGCTAGTGAGTTATGACCAATATCTTGTATTCAGTAGTTTTATCAGTACTTTTAAGGTGACAGTACTTCGTCAATTCGTGACTCCATTTGGTACCTCCATCAACAAACGTATCGTGGATTTAGTGCACTGGCTGACAAGTGAGCAGCAGGTCACGTTGTATCTCACAGCCTTGAGGTATGTTGGTCCATCGCAGTTTTTTGGACTAATGTTGTAGGATCCGCTTCCATGCTATTTTTTAAAATATCTCTATGAGCTTCATATTCACATGTATAAGCATTTTCATACAGGGACTCTGTATGGCCAGATGGTCAGCTAGCTGGCGATACCTTGCTCCGACCACCAGAAGTGAAAGCACGTGCCAGAATCCTGGCTAAATCTCTGATGTTGTCCTCCCTTCCAGATGAGCTTCGCCTTGTGCTCGGAGCTGACACTACCTATATTGGTATCAACACTATCTCAAATGCTTTACAGAATAAGCAGCTCAATCGTCGTTTATTGTATGTTTTACTAGAGCGACTACTGCTCACAATTTTCCCTAATAATCGGCTAGATAAAATATTTGCTCGACTGCACTCTAAAAGTCCAAGATCAAAAAGAGCTTAACAAATTTTCCCCAACAAGGTGGCTTTCACTGTATACTTGAAAATTGCCTAGCTTTTGAACCCAATATGTTTCTGCGGGCCAGATTTCTATTGTATATATTGTTCTGAATTTTTGTGATGTAGCGGCACTTGCCATGTGTGATGCATTTCTAGTCGCTTTTTAGTTCACCTTCTCATTTCCCTATGTTAACTTGTTTGTAGGTACTTGATCGTCGTGAGTTCCTCCTTCGGTGACCCATTGTATCCTCTACTACTACTTACCTTTGCAAATAACTATATTCAAGCATATCGACTGTATTTCGGTTTCGTTGTGGTGTGTATGTTTTCGCTCTTGGAACTCACTGTCATCCTGGTCAGTATTTCTTATTACTTACCCAATCTACCGGTGCTGCGTAATTCTCGTTGGCGATATTTTTTGTGGGTAAACAACATTCCAAAGCTCTCTTAATAAACTGTTTGTTTGAGCTGCCTTCATCACTTCACTGGTATCACTCCACGTATATGATGCTGAGACTTACTTTTCTCTCGCTCCTTTCTCTTAGGTAAGTGTTGTTGTTTATCGCTGCGTTATCATCCAAAAAATGAAGGGAAGGTTGCAGGATCGAATTAAGGAATTGTTTCCAAGCTGAGGGCACTTTTTGTCGCATAAAGTGCATAGCAGTTGCTGAGGTTTATACTCTCTAGATTTTTCTTTTGAGTTGCGTAATCCGTTTTTTTTTCGTTTTTAGGTATTGTGAGATTAGAGGTGTGAGAGTGATGGGTAATGTCGAGAGAAACCATAAAATAAGCAGAATTCATGGGCTTGTCTTATAGTTAGTTTTTGAATGAAATTTTTCAGTTCTTTTAGCAGCAGATCGCGCTAAATAATGAACATAGAGCATAATCCGTAAACTGTTGTCGGCATCGCCAATGCATTATGCACAAATGTGGACTGCAAATTCGTTTTAAGCTTGCGATCCAATGTGGAGCTGAATCTAGCCATACAGAATTCTAATTACTGCAAGGGAATGAATGGTTTTCTCAGAACGTCGTCATATTTGACTGTATTTTGGAGCCAGTATCAACTTGCCATTCAGCATTTCCGTTTAATCATTCCGTCGCTTTCATGTGGATGAGAAGGGAACATAAACGGGAAGCTAGATAGACGATGTTTTGACCTACAAAACATCCTAGAAAATTCGGTCAGTATAAATGTAGAAGTTTTACGGTCATACTTCCTAAATGAGGGCATCGGAGTGGAAGGCATATTCATAACAGCAATTTTTCCATTAGTAAAACTTCGTAGTCATGGCTTCAGCATAGCTTTTCAGAGCAGAAGCTGCTTTTCGGGTGTGTTTGGCAAGAGTTTTACAAGGGGTAAGAGGCGAAACAGGACTATTTATCATTTGAAAAAACCATTCTTATTCGTACGAGAATTATTCCAACCAATAGGGTTTGCATAATAATCAACATTTGTCGAAAATACTAGTAAAAGCAAAGATGGTTTGAGATAACGAGACAACATGTGCTGCCTACTTTCACTTATTGATTCTAATAAATCACGTTTGCTCCTGCAGGATGGCCATCAGTCTAGTCTCTAAGTCTTGTGAGTGCTTTATCTTTATAATTTAGCGATCTATATCTGCCTTTGCACTCATTGTTAGTTGTTTCCCTCATTCTTCACCTAAGATCACCTTTGTCACTCGATTGCAACAAATCAGCTTTTTGGCAATTTCGGGAGTCTTGCTTTGTTGGTTTGCAAGTGCAAAAATCTTGCCGTAAACTTTGTTGCCCGCATCAAGCTATTTTGCTCGCGAAAGTCTGAAAGTTGACATCCTTAGATAGTTGAGAGCCGAATCTTGTGCTTATTTTTAGTGCACATCGGAAGTACTGCCCTGAAAGGACTGATGTGCGGAAGCTCGCTTCGTTCTATAAGGTAACTTGATGAATTTCATTCTATGCTCTCCGTCTGCACTCTCTTTTGCAAAATTTGCCGAAAAACGATAACGATGCGTCCGTCCAGTCACGTATTCACGCCCACAACAGTGTTTGAGGTTTCGCTCTGTTTGCGAATTGATCAATGAATATAGTCGGAACGTTTTTAGATATAGCCATGTGCTCGAAAAACTTGGCCTAGCCTATACATTTTTGTGGAGTTTTTTTTTTCGTTTTTTGGTATCGTTTATGTGATACCCAACCTTAGTGCTGAATGAATTTTTTTTTAATTTGGATTTGTGCGGAAAGGACGATTCAGATCTCATCCCACTGTGAAATCATGCAACACTTCTACTTCCTTGCAATTTATCTACATTTGAATGGACTGCATAGTTTTCAAACCTTTTTCCCGATAATTTTTATGTTAATGGGAGCATGAAAACGCGAGTGTCTGCAATGGAAACCTATGAGTTAATGCGTTTCCAAATCTGTCTGAACTTCCGCGTATTCGAAGAACCTTGAATGTTGAACTTTAAATTTTGGTTTTGATCGATTTTATGCAGCATAAGTCGTTTACTTGCCATCGAATATTCGTTGTGCATGTGTTTGCACAGATTTATGGGTTTATTGAGTTTGTCCTTGAGCGATTGCAACGGAACCTGCTAGAAATAGACTGTTCCATTTATAAACATTTGTAAGGACTGTGCCTAACAATTGTACTGCCCGAGAAAAAGTGTGCGCTTTGCACTTTTGTTTTTATTGCCACTCAAGGTCATATGTTCTTTTCGTCAAAGCATAGAGTGGCAGTGAGCGAAACTTGAGTATTGGCTAGAAAACTGCAGAAAATAATAAGCGAAGTAAGTTCTATTCAGAATATTTGCTTCCTCCAAGAATCTCTTTCAAAGCAATCGTTGCAAAAATACACGAGAAGTCACTAAAACTGCTGGATGGCACTTATCATCACAATTCCTTCCTACTTCTTCTCTGTGCTGAGACCATCTTGGAGATCATGGACCACATAAAACCTCCTACGATTTTATGGGATTATGGTAATAACGACTAAAATCTCATGTAAAGTCCTCGCAAAATCTTCAAGCCTCAGAAATGAAGCTTCGCCGTAGCTTTTCACAGTGCAATGATGGCCTTAATCTTTGCCACTTTGTTTTGTTTACTCTTTTCGTTGCAGTGCCGATCAATGGTGTATTCCGAACCCTTAAGCGTTTTTTATGAGTTAAAAGTCAATTCACTTGCCGAATGCCCTTTCGTTCCATGGTATTCATTTGCATTAGCTTCCACTTCTTTTTTCAACAGCTATATCCTGTTTCTCGCTTCTAAGGCTATCGTCTCATGAAGCTTGCAAGTCTGGTGTTGCAAAAATGCCGAGAATGCTTGAGAGAGAAAGATATGTGGTTTTCTGGAAGAACTGAATCTTACAATGGATCGAGTATAAAGTAATTTGCATTTCATCTGTAGGACATTGGCACTTTGTCATGCGAGGTGGGAAATTTTCCCATTGTAGTCCAATCATCGGCGAAATCGCGCTAAGCGGCAGTCAGTGCGACGATGAATGCAGACGCAAAAAATATTAAAGCCCTTTGCAGTGGTCGTTCGTGCATTGTTGGTGCAATGAATCAAGTAGAGTTATGGGCTACTTCACTAAATGCTCACCAAGCTGTGTATACGCACCAGTAGAATAGTTGGTGATTTCTGTAGTTTCAATATTGTTGCTCCATAAGTGTTATTTTTCTTCTGGCTGTGTTGTTAGAACTCAAAGTATCCACAATTTATTTTTTGAGGTCCTTATAATATTCAATACGCTTCAGCAGAGCTGTTGGAAGCATGCAGGAAGCGCTGCAGAAGGCATTACAAGAAGAACTTAAGCCTTACGGACGTCCCGGAGGTGGTTGCATCAATCATGGGCAAGGTTTCGAAGGAAAATCTGTTGGAAAGATTTTTGTCAAGTCCAACATAAAGAAAGGGGTGAGCAGTCTATTGGCGAAGTTTTGGATTAGTTTTTTTTTTTCTTTTCGTATTTTCTGTCTTAATCCATTTCTATCTTATCTTCCTCTCTCTTAAAGGCAGCGTCCAGGCAGATCTGGACCTATGGGGCTTTTACGTGGAAAGTACTTTTGGGGCCCTAACTAAGGCACTGCCCAAGCGGCAGCTCAGGTAGTGCTGTAATGGCTGAGATATTCCCCTCGAATCTGGACCCCGCGACCGTGTTTCGCATAGATTCATGGTGCAAAGCGTGGATGCGCGACTGCCATGAATCATGCGAATACGTTCGCGGGGGCCAGTTTCGAGGGGAATATCTCAGCCATTAGAGCACTACCTGAGCTGCCGCTTGGGCAGTGCCTTAGTTAGGGCCCCAAAAGTGCTTTCCAAGTAAAATCCCCATAGGTCCAGATCTGCCTGGACGCTGCCTTTTATAGGCAGCGTCCAGGCAGATCTGGACCTATGGGGCTTTTACGTGGAAAGTACTTTTGGGGCCCTAACTAAGGCATTGCCCAAGCGGCAGCTCATGTAGTGCTGTAGCGGCTCAGATATTCCCCTCGAAACTGGACCCCGCGACCGTGTTTCGCATGCATTCATGGCGCAAAGCGTGGATCCTGGCGCGAAACTGCCATGAATCCGTGCGAATACGTTCGCGGAGGCCAGTTTCGAGGGGAATATCTCAGCCTTTAGAGCACTACCTGAGCTGCCGCTTGGGCAGTGCCTTAGTTAGGGTCCCAAAAGTACTTTCCACGTAAAAGTCCCATAAGTCCAGATCTGCCTGGACGCTGCCTTTAAAAACGGAATTTTTGCATAGCGCAAACAGACTTTGAAAGTCATCCATTTGAACCAAAGTGTAGTGTTGAAAGCTACAATGATCGCTTTCCATCTACCCTAATCTCACAAGTACAAGACGTACGTTTTTTTTTTCAAACTTAATAGCTTGGCCGCCCCATTGTGCTTCGCTAGATGGTCCTCTCCTGCGCGAGCCTTTTCAGAGCAGCACGTTAGGGGGTCATTTGGTCACAGAATTCTTTGGTGTGAGGTTAGTCGAGTTCAGAAAAAAAACAGGTGCGTCTTGTACTCGTGAAATCAAGGTAATAACTCTGCTATACCGCAATCCACCTTTCCGGCTCGAGAAATTATGGTCTCGTAAAGGGATGGTGAAGTATAGCCTCAATGGAAGCTGTCGCCGCATATTTTAGCAAGCAAGAATTTTCCATTTTGCAGAATCTCGAAGTTGTGCCTACAAACATCTAAAATCTACGATGTTAACGATATGAAATGGTGGAGGTGGAAGACGCTTTTAATTTCAGTCGGATGTCATGTTTCGTGGAGAGTTTGCTTCACTAAAAGCAATGTTCGAAACTGGTGCAGTGCGTGTGCCACGTCCTATCAGTGTTTTGAACCTCGGAGGTGAGTTTTTTGAAAATTGACGCTTTTGCGTTTTGGTTACATTTTCACTGCCGTACTTCTCGTCGATTAATAGGTTTGAAGTCTATCTCTAAAAGCGACGTGCGCGAGCGGTAGAAAGCATTAAGCCCCCTTGAGTCCAAGCGCTACAAGCTTGTCGCAGGGGACAAGGAACACACACCCTGTTTCAGACGTAATATCAGTTTCTGAAGTTACATTCATACATATTACCCGCAGCAATTTGAAGATAACGTAAAGGCTTATAGCAACCAACGAGACCATCCATAGTCTTTCGCGAAAGCCGCTCGCCCACGTTCTTGTTTGATAATACGGATTTATGGGTAGAGAACGATATGCCTTGGAAAGGGAAGGTAGCGCAGACTTTTGCAGCAAAACGGCCATTCGCACATGAAACGTGGCTGCAGCGCGTGCCAGTTGCCGCAAAGTGCGGAGTCTATTGGCGACTATCGTCCTCTTGCCTTCAGTCAAAAGTAGTGTCCGGACAAAATTTCGACTGTAATTTTCGCTTATCTTGGCTTGTTCTTCTTGCTGTCTTTGAAAATGCAGCTTGCGGAGCAAGAAAATGACAGCGATTCCGAGAAACCATTATCCGTCGGAATCCGGCGCTGACCTTAGCTACAGTATATAGCTAAGGCGACCATAAAAAGTGACCCAGCTGCCTCTTTGTCTTTGCTTTGGCTATGAATCGTACTTATTACATATAATTCTTACTTACCAAATCATTAGGTCATCCTGAAACTATCATTTGTCTTATTAACTCTCTGATCTTGCCACGGTACTGAAAATTCTCCTCATCTTGGATACTCTCTCAATATACCATAACGTGCAAATACTGAAGAACTGAATCATTATCGAGATATCCCAGTAACTTTTCGCCAAAATATAAAAGGGTTTTATTTGATGAAGTTAGAAGAAACTCTGCTTCTGAAAACGTGAACATTGTTCAGGAAGATGAAGTCATCCTTACCAATGATAGTCTTGTTTGAAATCCTTAACAACATAAAGATTTCATAAGTGATACTTCTACGTCATCCATCAACATCAGTGTTAGCAAACTCAGGTCCCCATTCATTACTTGAATACGGATAGCGAAATGATCAGTTATATATACTACCCAGAGGATAAACAACACATCATATCAAATGCAGGACCACTTTATGATCTGATCAGTAAGATCGGTGAAAAAGTAAGAGGCAGCCGGGTCGCCTTTTATGGTCGCGTTAGCTATACACTGTAGCTGAGGTCAGCGCCGGATTCCGAGGGATAATGGTTTCTGCGATTCCGGAGGCCCTCGATATTGGACTATGCCGCTAGCGTCAACACGCAGAATCGTGGGACCCTCTTGACTGTGCGCGATAGGCACGCGCCCATACTTGATCCATTAGACTTATCCGCTTGATTCACACTAGATTCAGAGTTATGCATTTGATCTATTGGATCCACTTCTCTATTTGTAAATCATGAATACACTTGATGCGCTTCATCCACTTGACTATTGGTCAGTTCACTGAGTTGGCCAATAGCGACGTGGATCGAGTGGATCAAGTATGACGTGTGTCATATCTGCATTGCTTGCGTCCCAAATAGGTGGAAGGACGGGTGCGAATGCCGTTACATTATCAGTAGGGCGCATAATACGCAGAGTTAACAATGATATAGTTGCACCAGCGCCACGTACGGGCCCGCTCAACTGAAGTTGCTACTGCGCCTTTGTCCTGCAGTAGACCGCTATTTTTTAAATATGTGAAGGTATATCAAAGTAGCACTGCTTTGTTCCTTTCATTCAGCTCATGGATGGGCACTAGTCACCGAATACATTGATATGGGTGGTGGAAATCGTCACGACCTCGTGCAGCTTGGCTCGCAATTGGCAAGGTCGTTATATGAAAATGTAATGTTATTTTTGTACTGAGTTCGGGTATTTTTTGGTGAGCATAGATTGATTTTTTCGTGCTTCATTTTCGTTCTTCAAATGAATTCGTTCTAGAATGCACAAGCATAATGAAGAGTGTCTGAAGGCTGCAGAACATTCCGAAGGCTTCGTTGGTGGAGACTATAAAACCGGAAACTACAAAAAGGGCGTTAAGCAATTTGGATTTCACACGACTACCTGTTGTGGGTTCATACCTCAAAACAACGAATGGTGCGATGACTGGGCGGTTAGTGCTTTGTGAGCCATTGCACCATGATTCCAACTGATTTTTGCAGTCATTCTTTGTTAGAAATCGTCTGAAGATCCAAGCCGACTTATTGATTGAGGTGAGTTTATCTGAATCGGTTCTTACAAATACTGAAAGTTTTTTTCAGAAGGGAGATAGAGATATGAAGGAGGCTTGGCCGGAACTTGAAAGAAAGGCAACAGATCTTCTTGCTTCCTGTAAAGGTGTGATACCAGCGCTGGTACATGGTGACCTTTGGGGTGGAAATTGGGCAAGTTGTGATACCGGTCCTGGTAAGTTTATGTTCTGTGTGTTTATTCTCTTTCATAGCATTTTTGTCATCTTCAGTCATATTTGATCCCGCGAGTGCATTCTGCGATCCAGAATTCGAAGCAGGGATTATGAACATGTTTGGAGGATATGGAGCCGATTTTTGGGCGGAATATCATAAAATTCTGCCAGCAAGGCCTGGGAGAAATGAGAGAATGCTGCTGTATGAGCTTTTCAACCACTTGAATCATTGGTAAGTTAATGTTTCCTTTCAAATAGTCATTGCCTTTACGTTGTTGTTTTTATAGGAATCACTTTGGAACATCCTACAAAGGCTCTTCATTGTCGCTGATTCGTCGAATCTGTTGTCTGTGATTGCAATACATGCCTCAGGAACTGCATTGTGCAATGTGCTTGCAAAATCCAAGCATTGAGGTATTCTTCGAACATCCGTCAAGGGCTTGTCATCTTATCATTGCTTCATTATATCTTCAACTCTGTATCAGCCTATACTTCAACTGCTTTGTTATATCCATGCCGATCACTTATTAGACGTTTGCTAATAGTTGTATTGTAGTCGTTAATCAATGTTTCTTGTTTTGTAGTACTGTAATTAAATGATTAGTTCGCTAGTGTTCATTAGTTCTTCTACTAATCATCTTGTGATAAACGAATAGCAATCCCAGTGCCTGTAGTATGTTGTAGTTCGACTGTAGTTGGATGTAGAGATGCTTACATGTTTCTCTGAATAAATGAATACCAAGATTATCTGCTAGTACAGTTTGTCTTCTGGGTTATAATCCACGTTTCCTTTATAGCTGAAGTATGATTTAGTTTACTCAGAGACTAGCTGGCTTGCCCGGCTCCGCCGGGCCTGCCAGCTAGACCCGTGTACGTATGTTCCGAATAGAAAATTCCATTTCTGAACCGATTGGGACCGAACTTTGCACACATACACTTCGGGCCCCGGCGGGTGTCACAGTCCACCTTTCGTTATCGATCGATGTCGATTTTACCGATTTTTATCGATTTTTTTGCAGAGTTCACCTACAGGGCTAGGAGTTGGCACAGGGGGGTAATCGAGCATGCCGATTACGAACACAATATTAGTTTTCAGGATCGTCCATTACTTTTATCGATTTTATCGATTTTTTTTGTAAAGTTTGACCTGCGAGGCTGGGATTTTGCACAGGGGTGTAATCGAGCATGCCGATTACGAACACAATATTAGTTTTCAGGATCGTCCATTACTTTCATCGATTTTATCGATTTTTTTTGTAAAGTTTGACCTGCGGGGCTGGGAGTTTGCACAGGGGAGTAATCGAGCATGCAGATTACGAATACAATATTAGTTTTCAAGATCGTCCATTACTTTTATCGCTATTATCGATTTTTTGAAAATTTGAGCTAGGGGGCTGAAATTTGGCACAGGGGTGTAATCGAGCATGCTGATCACCCCCCTTGGGGATGATCAGCATGCTCGATTACCCCCCTGCGCCAACTCCCAGCCCCCTAGCTCAAACTTTGCAAAAAAATCGATAAAATCGATAAAAGTAATCGATAATCCTGAAAACCAATATTGTATTCGGAATCCCCATGCTCGATTACCCCCCTGTGCCAACTCCCAGCCCCGTAGCTCAAACTTTGCAAAAAAATCGATAAAATCGATAAAAGTAATCGATAATCCTGAAAACCAATATTGTATTCGGAATCCCCATGCTCGATTACCCCCCTGTGCCAACTCCCAGCCCCGTAGCTCAAACTTTGCAAAAAAATCGATAAAATCGATAAAAGTAATCGATAATCCTGAAAACCAATATTGTATTCGGAATCCCCATGCTCGATTACCCCCCTGTGCCAACTCCCAGCCCCGTAGCTCAAACTTTGCAAAAAAATCGATAAAATCGATAAAAGTAATCGATAATCCTGAAAACCAATATTGTATTCGGAATCCCCATGCTCGATTACCCCCCTGTGCAAACTCCCAGCCCCGTAGGTGAACTCAGCAAAAAAATCGATAAAAATCGATAAAATCGATATCGATCGATGACGAAAAGTAGCCTATGACACCCGCCGGGGCCCGTAGTGTATGTGTGCCAAGTTTGGTCCGGATCGGTTCAGAAATGGAATTTTCTATTCGGAACATACGTACATACATACAGACAGACAGACAGACAGACAGACAAACAGACATTCAGCTTTATATATAAGATAATGTCAGATATGTTACAGCAAAGCGATTTGCTAGGTGATCCATTCCTCTTGAATCTCTCAACAACATTGTTAGGGCTTCATTTTGGCTTTCGGCTTCATCTTTTTAGAGCTGAGAAGATTGCAAATATCTACTCATTGTTCCCAAATAAGTATCATCCAACAAGTTACAGCTCAGCATCAAGGTTGCGCTATGGGCATACATTGGTCCGCTGGTTTTGATGTAGCTACAGACCAAATTCACTGGGGTTGATGTAAAGCTACCTTTTGAGCGTGGTAGAGCGTTTTTTATGGTCGGTCAGTCATCTGGGGGAGGCGGTCGGGGCTCCAGTCGTTCCCCTTTCCAGGACATCAAAAATCGATGGACCGAAGCGTCAGGTGAAGAAGCCTCAATAATGTTGATATCAGCTTCAGAAAAGCGAAGTAAATTCCGTAATCATACTAAAATTCATAATTAGAGTTTGCATTAATTTTATACAGCTTCTTGTAGCATGTTTATCTTTTTTTGATGGTTGTCAGTCACTTTTGACTAGAAATTGCAAGACATATTGGAATGGTTTGCCCTCTCTGTCGCAATTCTCACTCTGTTTCGTATGCTATACATGTGATTTCTTCTACTGCTCTACGTGCATATCATTCTAAAATTTTGATAATTTGGCCAACCTTCATTAGACATTGTGGTTTCGTACACATCACCGCTCATAATTCGTCAAGAAAGTCATTAAAGGCCCATTGGACTTTACTGAAATTCGCCTCTTATCGCCATATTTTGGCTCACTGGTATACAGAAGTGCCCGTTTGAATGCGGTAGGTGCACGATAGGCGGCTTTCACAAATTTTAATTGTTGCTTACAGTAGCTTACTGTGTGCTTGTTTACAGCACACTGAATAACTCCTCAAAACTATTTAAAAAAGCCTATCGTACACGCACCGTATCTATACGGGAATTCATGGGTACTTCTCCGTCATTCGGACCCATTTCTTCAAGGAGAGATATTGCTTTTTTCCTTTTATCGTATTTGGTCCTCTTAGGAAGGAATGTCAACCTTCTGCCACATGCCAAAAAATTTGACATTTTGTCTAATGCTTAACAAGTTTTACCAAGACTTTGCAATGCCATACCTAGCGACATATGTTATCTGTTTTTGATCAATAATGACCCATTGAATTGAATAGTTTAAAAAGAACATTGTTGTGATAATAACGTCATTTTGTTATCGATGACAGATTAGACTCACTTGGAATAGTGAAGTGCGCTAGAATTCCAGCATCTAAGCGGCGAAACAAGCAGCAGCGAGTTACTTCAAGCCATCATTCATAGTTCTTACTGACTATAGTCGCTTGGCGGAAAGAGTTTGAAAAAAAGACATTTTTGAATCATTATTGAAAGCAGTTGAGATGTTGTAATATAGGTCCAGACTGTTTTTTGCTCTTATAGAAGCACAGCTTTTGGTTGGTCACAAAGGTTCTTTACCTCAGCGGAAATGATTCCGAAAAAACGTCAAAATGGACCAAAACGTGTCAATTTTTTCCTGACACTGGCAGCGAGGCAGTCCTCCTAAAATCTACGGAAAAGTGTTTTTTGACTTAAATACATATTTTACGAAAACCTTTTGGTTCAGATAATGGAAAAATAGAATTCATGTACAGGAAGATGCATCTTGCTGAGAATGATGTTTTCCGATTCAGAAATCATCCGCTCTGAACCAAGATATGGAATTGTAAACCGCATTTCGGTGAATTTGTTAAGTTTGGTGACATTTTGGCGAAATATAAGCGGTATTGTAATCATTTGTGCTAGTTAGGTAAGTTTTTTGACCATGACCGAAGTAAAAAATAGCTGGAATATGGATAAGTTGCAGTGTCCTGTAGGAATTTTCGTTTATGGCGGGGAGGGCTACGAAACCTTTCTCGAAGTGCGTGACATAGCCACAACTGCTTTTGTGGCTGCTTTCAATTTTTGTTGTGCATATCACGCCCTGATGTGTTTTACAAAGCGATTATTTTATCTATTTAGTAGAAAGAAGTCGGTGCAGTTCTAGTAATGTAAGCCAGGTTATTCTTGGTATTTTTGCTGCTTGTGTATTGCTTTTTCTTGATTCTCGCTTGGATCTCTTGTCTTTCTTATATATGTATGTATTCGTTACTTACTCTTTCCACAAAGAAAAATCATGTGCTCATTCTGAAGTAGCATGGGAATCCAATCACGCTCTCTCTCACCCATTTTTAGTAAAAATGGGTTTTGCTGAATTTTTTGATCTACTTATTCTTGCCCATATGTCCTCCTGTCAAAAAAATAGGTTACTGACAAGACAAAATTTTCATAGGCTTCCCCTTATCTTGATGGTAGAGCTTATTACTCAGCGGAGATGTTTGTCATGAATAATTATGCAACGTGTTTTACATCATTTTGCTACCCATCACTTTTTTGGTCCTTCAAGCATCAAGCATCAGGTCTAAGTCCAAGTCTAAGCGCTTACGGAGAATTTTTTCCGTCATTTTTTCCAAGTTCATTAAAGCTTTGTGCCGAATCCTCCTTCACCTTCCGCTCGCATACTTTTTCAAAAATCTCAATATTCATGAAGTAATTCTTCATCATCATTATGTAATTTATCTGTTGAAAAAATTCCTTCCAAATATCTTGTTCGTGCTCTTTACAGGCACGTCATCGCCACAACATCTTTCCTTTTTCCCAAATTCATTAAACTTTGCAAAGTGTTTTTGTCGTTTGAGTTCTCCATTATAATTGTTCATGAGCTGTCGTTGCCACGTCGAGGATCAATTTTGCTTTCGTGGCTACGTATTCTTCTATTGCTGAGGTTCTCCGAAGGGCTTCCTTTTTCTCCAAAAATATTCGACTACTTATTTTTGAGCTGATTCAAAACATTCATTCATGCACTTGCTTTATGCATTCAGCGTAAGTTTTTCTCTAATATATACCTAGAAAGTTCAGACGCACGTCTGCCTGCTGGCGTGGACGAAAGAAACGAGAAAACGAGACAGAGCCAAAAGTTTCCGGTTTCTTTCGGGGTTTGTCAATAAATTATCAGGACTTTCTTGCTTCAGAAAGGTCTCGCATTTGAAGGTCATTTATTGCTAATCTTAGGATTTTTTTTCTATGAAATCAAATTCACCACACTAGTGACGTATGCTTTTGATAAACACCAATTAATGTCAAGTGTTCTTAGCGAGAAAAAATCACTGTAATAAAATGTTTAGTCAGTGCAATACTATTTATGGAATGACATCCTGGTCCTTTCAAATGGTCACTCAAAAACAAGTAACTCGCACAGCACTATTTCTTTCTTTTTTGCTACCAGTTTTGTGAAACATTGCCTTCATTAATCAATTCAAAAGTGTGGATTTAACGCTGTGACTGGTTTGGCTGCGTGCTAAATTAGTTGCGCGTATTTCGACATGTCATTTGATTTTGGGTATGTAACTTGTTTGGGAATATGGATATGTGCGTTGGTCATGTTTTCCTTCAAAATCCACATTTTTTGTTTCATCCGAAAAAATGTTTGAGAATATGGATATGTGCGTTGGTCATGCTTTCCTTCAAAATTCACATTCTTTGTTTCATCCGAAAAAATAAACTTCGTTCATGTCTAGACCTTTCGTGAACTTTTTATCTCTTTGAAGTCATACAACATTTTTTTGTTGATTTTCTACTTGTTATTGATTTCGCGCATTTTATCATAAGATCCATACAGAAGCTACCCTGTGAAAAAAATCTCGGTTCTTACCTTGGTGTTGTGCCCCGATTTTCAGATAGTAAGCATGGAAAACGTATATTGACATTGTCTGATCAATATATAACTATATCATGGGCGTAGGCCTATGCTAATGCTTTGTGAGTGCATTTTTTTCTGAATGTTAATGCGGCGAAGCGTGGTATATTGCAGGATTATTGCATGGTGGAATTGTACGAAAATCTAGAGCCTGATATCCTTCGTATCTTTGTACATATTGAAAGAAAAAGTGCTAATACATGTTCATATTTTTTGCTGCGAGTAGATTTTGTCCCATAAAAAATTGTGTGCAATTGGTTTTTTTTGAACTCTCTTGCCCATCTTCCAGATTTCTCTGCAAAAAAAAATGTCATGTTAAGTTTTGGACATTCATAGTGGCTAGTTCTGGATTAAGCGCACGCGAACGCTACGCGCGAGCTATTAGCCTCCCCATTCCATACCTTTAGCGATAATAAGCGCTCAACCGCCGCGTTCCCACGCTCCGCGGTGATACACGCCGCTTTCGTTTGGGACTAGCAGTAGGCATACTGCTTCCATGAATCTCAGTAGAATTTTATTTGCTAATCTCTTCCGATGTTTTTTCCATCTTTGATTTTGCCGCTGTTTTATTCATCTCAGTTAAGACTTCAATTTAATCTCGAATATTCAGATCCGTTCCATGTTCGACGTGCACTTGTTGGCATGGATATGGTGTGGAATATGTGCAGCCGCGTGCATCTTCGTTGTCAACGTAAAAAGGATGAGGACCCCGAGGGATGCAGCTGAAAATAACGCCGAGTTCCGGGGACTGCAACGAAAATTTCTTTTTCCTTATTTGGTCGTGCTCTTCTCGGAAAGTCTGCAGGTTTCTGTCTTTGATTTTTGGCTTCTCTCTAGCCAGTTTTATCGTCGCGATAAACTCAATTTATGATTTGAAGCGCGTTGAACTTACAAGTTAACCGTGTTTAGTCGAAGTGGTCTTTTTAAATCAGATGTATACCACATGAAGAGCATGAAACGCTGATTCCAAATCTGCCTTCCTTATTTGCGGAACATTTATAAGAACGGTAGCTTCTAATAGAGCAAAAAATTCTGGTGCAAATCGGACAAAAATTGTCGCAATATTTTTTCTAGCGCTCTAATGGAGCAGTGATGATTATTAGAGCACTTTATTTGATGAATACCCAGATAAAAAATATATCGCACTTGATTGCTTTATTTGAGGGCTAGGAAGATTTTAGCAACTCATTATATTCTAAATGCAGTTCTTATTTTTTGCTTCAATAAACAACTTCCGGTCCACACAAACGTTTTGCATTTGGGGAAGGCAAATTTAGAACCAGCGTTTTGTGCTTTCCAGTGTGGTGTACCATTTGATTCAACTGACTTGGCATCGGCAAAGGCGGGGCTTCGTGGCTTTATTAAGAAGGCTAGGTAATGATCAGAGAGCACTCGCGCGAGAGAGACGCAGGTGCGTCGCGGGCGCGAGCGGCCTCAATTAGATCACAAAACCCCGCCCTAATGGTGCCAAGCCAGTTGAATCAAAGGTTACATCCCATCTAAAAAGACCACTTCGACTACATGCTTCTTTTCTTGGCAGATTCATTCCATTTGTGGGTCTAAACAGCAACTATATAATCATGATAACTGTAAAGTAACTATAAGTACACGGCAGTGGCGTACCAAGGATTTCCTAGGGGGAAGGGGCGCGACAAAAGTTTTTCTAATGAAAGCGTGGCGTCAGCCACTCACTCCGAAAAAATTTTTCATAAGGCTTTAATGAATTTTTGAAGATTTTTTCAAAAATTCAGTCAATCACATATATAAGCGAGAAACCTACGCATTTTTATAACTCACGTAAGTGACTTTCGAAAATTTCGCGATCCAATCTCGAGGGGGGGGGGCCTACGTTCCTCAGTGGGTCCTGATTCAAGTTAACGATAGTTCACATGGGGTAAGGCAAAATCCGGCACATATGTAATGTGGACATACCATCAGAAACCCTTGAAAATAATTTTCTGTGCTAATAAGTTCTCAAAAATTCCAAAACATGTTCTTCTGCAGATGTACTAGCTTAGCTAACTCTTTGAAACTCTACTAATAATGGTTGAAGCCTATCACTTCAAATGATGAGCAGAGAGCAGTTGACGCAAAATTATTGGCGTATTAATTAGATAGTTTACGAATCTTGCTCTGAGTGATAGGGAAGAAGATCTTTTATATTGATTTTTATTGTTTACAAATGGTTATGCTCCTCTAAGATCTTATGAATACATGAATACATGATAATATATGTAAATATTACGTACAGATAGCGGAAATCTTGCTTCCCCCTGATTCAATCCAGGGAAGCCAAATTACAACCGGCTTCTAGATATGAGTTTGCATATGAAAAATAAGGTTGCGGGCTGATTTTTAGTGCAATTTAAGGGACTGCCTGTATTTATTGAAGACAATGATCAAAAAATCTCTTTGATAATTAACAGATTTCTAGGCACCGTATTTGTATGCGTTCTACTATGACTTGCGGTATGTTGCATCGCAAATTGCTGTGTTATACGTCGCTGGCCTCGTTTCAAACATGATGTGCAGCTTCTACTGCGTTCATCTTTCCGCCAGATATGGTAAATTCAATGGTTGCATTATCATAAGGTAGATCTAAATTTCAAAACTTTGCAGGTCGAAAAGCTCTCTGTTTGCTCTGCCTTGTCGCTGGATGCATGGGATGTGCATGCAAACTTTTCCCTTCATTTATGATCCTCTTCATTGGACGTATTCTCGATGGTTTCTTTGCTGCTCTAGTCACTAGTCCCTTCCAGCAATGGCAAGTTCAAAGAAGTGAAATTATGTCAAATTAGATCTCCTTCATGGTATTACTCCAGGTATCTTGACGAACATCAAGTGACCTTCGATTTTCCTCCTGAATGGATACAGTCGACTTTGACGATATTGTCACTGGGCGCAGGTTTTCTATCGGTTACTGCTGGTGTCACTTCACACATTGTTGTTGGAATATCCAAAGTAATAGCTATTCCTTATATTTTGGCAACATGCTCTATGTTCATTGGTGAGTTTCGTTAGGTAAAGCTTTAGTTATTTAAATACAAGAAGATGAGAATGTTGGGGCTGAATACTTTGGTAGGGAAGAGAGACTGGCGTCGATAATTGCTTCCTGCGCAAATTTCGGCCTTCGGTCGCGAAAACTGAATTTTTCAAAATATATATTTCCTGGGACATGTCTCAGGAAGGCGAAGAACAGATTTGGTGATTTGAAGACTCGATGTCACCACCTCCGCCAAAACGTTCGGCTCTTAAAAGACGCAAAAAGATTTGAAAATTTTTCAGAGCAGAGTTTGTTAAGAAAAAGAAATTTTAGCTGGCACCTATCACTCTTTCACATTTCCTTCTAAGTTGAACAGCTTTAAAAAGTGCTGCTGACGAAAGGACTTGCGTTTCTTCCTTTGCTTTCAAATTTTCCCAGGAAGACTCTCCTGATTTCTAAAATACAACTGTCTTCACGCACGCGCTACAATTGATCCTCGATCCACTTGATCCATCCGATTGACTGAATCATTGATTTGACGAATATCGACGTGGATGGAATGGATCAGGTGGACAACTTCACTACTGGCCAGCTCGCTGATTTGGCCAATAGCGAAGTGGATCAAGTGGACTAGGCGTAGCGGATGCTTTAGACAACACCTAAACTCCCAACAACTGAAATATAAATACCCAATTTTTTGCTAGCGGCTTTGCTAATTGTGAATCCCTCCAGGCTGCAGGCCGATCTGATTGTTGCTGAAATAGCCTTTGCTTGACTAGTTCAACATCTCCGTCCAAGTATTCTATCATTACAATTTTTTGCTAATCGTCTTCATGCCATTAACTGTCACGAATGCTGTGACTACTTTGTTGCTTCAATCAGCTTTCGTATGGCTTGTTCCATTCCATTTTCATCGCTTTTTTTGCTGACCTTCTTAGCCTTGCGGATTGTTTAATTATAATAGCGTGATTTTCTCCAGCAGGCTGATATCTTGACATTTTTTGCCACCGTTTTCAATGATGCTCGACTTTTTCACTCAAGCGAAACCACTTTTCAGGTGGAGTTTTCATCTCGTCGCAGTGGACTGAGAATAAGTCGGTTGATGCTCCATTACCATTTAGAAATGTTATCGGGAAAGCTCTTGCGGTAAGTGGTAATGCTTTTACAATTGATTTTTGGTAATCTTTACTATCATGCTTACTTCCTAGGTTATTCGCTCTAATCCTATAGCGCTAGTGATAAGTGTAACCTCATGCTGTGCTGAAATGGCTATCCACATGTTTGTTTTTGTCTGGGCACCACTCTTCATCAAAGCCGAGCATAAAGGCACAAGGTCCTCTATATGATTTCTCGTTTTCTTTGTTCATGTATTCATTCTCAGCGTTTACAAGCTTGGTATAATCTACGCTTCATTCGTGGCTTCATACCTAGCTGGTCTTCTTCTTTACACAACAGCATCGAAGAAATTTCGGAATGCACGACTTTTGGTAACATCAATGGTAGTCGCCTTCATTGTACTGATCGTTGCGTGAGTTTGTGTTGAGATCTTTCCGTTTTAAAACTCTCTAGCTTTCTGATTTTTCATCTTCCATTATCTTTGTGAAAATCTTGAATTTCTGTATGACGCATCGGCGAATGGCTTCGGTAATATCGGGAAATTTTTCTCCTCAGAGTCATTGTTGACCACCTTTTTTTAGAATTCGCGAATTACCGTTCTACAGCACTGACTGGACCGAGACCCGTTTCGAACGTGTTTTCCTTTGCTTAGTGATATTTGAACTCACATGTGGTGTTTATAGTCCAGCAATGGAGGCTTTGCAGGTAAAAAATTGGTCGAAAGTAAGATATGTAGGACGTGATTAATTGAATTCAGACCACTGTATTGCCTTACTTACATCAACGATCCGTCCTTCTTGCTCTTGTTCGACTTCCGCTGACATTTTTCGTTTCCTTGACAATCCTCACATTCTTCGCTACACCTGGAGGAGAATTCAAACTGATGATATTTATTGTGGTGTAAGTTATTTCAAATACGTTACTTGAGATCGCAAGTGCTCAAAACTTTGTATTATGGCGCTGCAAACAATCACCAATACTGCATTTGAATATTTGTCAACACTTCTAGTTGTCCAGAGCATTCCTTTAGGCAGCTATTTATCGCGGCCCTTCTCTCATTGCTGTTGGATGCGGTTGTCATGAATCGCGGCTACGAACAAGAACCGGACCATTTCTATCTGCCAACCACAATAACGAACATGGATGCCAAATTAACAAAGCAAGAACTCGATGACACAATGTACATCTTTTAATCGGAACGTACAGGTGACTAGTCTGCAAGTAAAGTTGTGGACCAGTTATCCAGACTTATAATAGTTTCAGAATTTCATTGCTTCTTGAGTTTCCTTATCATGACTTTCGCAGTTTTCATTGAAAGTTTTGCATTTTTTTCACTGATGAGAACATTCTTGTTTAGGGGGACTTTATCAACCGTCGTCTATGGATAAATTTGCGAATCGGTCAGAAAGTTTATTCTGCGATGCGTTAATAAGATAATATATTTTTACCTGTCTAAAGGGGCATACATTCTCAGCATTCAGAGTCTGTTATTTATCTTCTATGTCTTTTCCGATTGTTACGGTATTTTTGTCAATGGCTTTCTGTGCCTGGTCACGACATTTGTTTGTTTGTTGGATTGACCGCTCTATGAATGTGGAGGCGCCTACGGCGCAGAAAATGTAGCCTAATCACGGGTTTTCAGTAGTTGGGTAATGCTAATATATGTTTGTTGTAAATCGTTTATAATTCTTTACGAATAAATTTACCTTTCTTCACCGTACTAACTTATGAAGGATGTATTCAATACCATAATGCTCATGGTAGAATTTAGATATGTAATATTCGCATAGTTCAAGAGTTCTCATGTATAAAAGGTTGTACAGTCTGTTTCAGTGGTAAATTTCTTCACATCGACGCGCAAGAGTTGCGTTCGCGGGCGTAGGCTTGGCTAGACAAATGGGCTTCGTCTGTCAAAGTTCTTCACGCGTGACTTCCGCTTTGCAGATGCATAGTTCCCGCGCTAAAGAGACTCTGCATCTGAGACAGACTGTATGTGAGCATTCTGACGGTCACATGGATCTTTTCGAGGAAAGGGGAAAGGGGAGTTAAGAGGGTGGGCGCCACGAAATGTCTATCGTAATGAAGGAGGGGGACTCTGGCCACATCCTAGAATTTGCTTTAGACCCAAAATACAGAAAATACGACTCTCACAACTCTCGACTATTTATAACACTGGACTACTACTTCCAACAAAATCATGAAGATGGCTGAAATTTGGTCTCTAGGGTTCGATGTGCTGAACACGAAGGGACATCTGTTACTTACCGTAGACTTACCCTGTGGTGTTTGCACTACTCCAGTAGGTGTATCACGAGTGCAAATAGTAAATTCACGATACACGATGTCAAATCTCCCCCCCCCCCCCCACCTCCCCTCCCCCTTATCCACACTCTTCTGCAGTGGTGCAGTAATGCACAATTTTTGGGATTTTGACCTTTTATTTTATCCTACATCTATTGGAACAAATGGAAATGGAAAAAGTCTGATCACGTGAAATGAGTATTAATTAGGACCATGTCCAACCCCCATAGGGCAGTTTGAGTGATTTGTAGTTTTGATAGCTCAAAGTGGAATGGTGGAAAAGGTAGTTGAAATTGTTCTCTCGCAAATTTTGACTAGTTCTGGGAGAGGCGGGGCGAAGGATTCCCGCCGTAACCAGCAAGTGACTGCGGACTGTAACTTCACTTGTTTTGGCTGCAATTGGCTGATCAGCCCAGGCAATCAATACGACACTGTTGACGTAAATCCCTCGCCCCGCCTCTCCAGCAATCTTCAGGGTCGGAAAACGCCAAAAAAACACTTTTTTGACTTTTCAAGCAATACTTGACTCAGCTGGTCCAGAAGGCCATGTACTTGTGCAAATCCCCCACTTGCATTTTTCCCGAGCCACTGCCTTCAAGTGTCGGAGCATTTCACCGCAATCTTCCACTCACCCATGCTATGTTTCTTCAACAGCCACGATTACTTATCAGCAATGTGCTTCCGGCAAACTTCCGAATCGGATTAACATTTTATTCCACTAACATTCCTCATATCAGACATTAATTTACCGTAACCAGCAAACAACAATGATGTCACATGTAACGTTGAGATCCTTCTTCATAAAATGGAGAACGATGAAGATCAGCAGAAAGCGTTTTACCCAAGCGTGTGCGTAGCAGCGGTTATCGATATCATTTGAAGTGCAAAGAGCAGACTGCCATTTTACTTCCGGCCAAATCGAATGTACTGGCTCTTTCTCTTCTCCGGTATATCAGTTGGTACTGAGCGGCCAAATCGAACAAATGCTGACTTTCTCTTTTCTACGTCCTGAAAACAAGTATAATCTTGATTATGTTCAAGAACATAACTACGCAGGACGTTTGCATTTTTGCTTTACATTCCAAAAATTAGATTTGATACAATCTTGCTTTGTAAACTGATCGTGTTACGCTTTCATACAGCTAATAGTTGTGAAAAATGTTGTGATAGGTTAGCGAAAAAATAGTATATAGTTCGCAATTTTTCGAAGTCCTACCTTCAATAACTGATAAGATTCTAGATAAGTTTGAGACGAAGACCAGTGTTATCATTATTAAGTATTGGTCGTGTATTGAAAAGTTTGGTTTTTTGTCAGTACTATGATTGCTAAATCTAATTGTTATTATTTCTATAAAATACTGTTAGCGTTGACTTTGGCTCAAGCATGTGAAACCATTACTGATACTGACAATGGCAAAAGGCTCTTCGATTTCGACCTTCAGTTGTTAGCGTATAAAACTTGTTATCGAATTTAGAACTTATATGCATACCTTTCCCAAGAAACCCTATTTTTGTTCATTCCCAAAAGAAGAAGGGAATTTGTGGAGTCTTTTTGCGGTTATAACTGGCTAGATTTTCGGGTTTCGCATTTCAAAGTATACCAAAGAAAAGTTACAAGAGGTCTATTTTTACAACTGGTGACGCAATTTTTTCAATTTCAAGACGTATTTGAAAGTCGTATTTGCCTCCATTTACAAGACGATAATTCATACTCCAAAACAGTTTTGCTTCAAAACTGCCTAAACAGCATAGTCACGGTTTGGCTTATAACCTTTCTCTTTGTACTTTCATTTTTTTACCCATTCTAAAGAAGACGTAATGACAACTTACTGCTGTAAAGTCTGCTGACCCATCAGCTCTCTTTCCGAAACGAACAAATGCTGACTTGCGTTTCTCCATAGGATTAATGGCAACCGCTGAAATGACTATTCTTTATCCAGGTCATACCTTCGATACATAGAGCCATGTACTCTGGTAACCTTCATTTTGAGCGTCATGATGGAACACAACCTTCACCAGGGGAGAAGTACAGAAGTCATCCGGGGCGAAGCCCCGGAAATTATGACATAACTAATGACATAATTGTGTAGGGATGAATTTAAATGAGGCAAATATAGCAGTGACATTCAAAAGAAGCTCAAAAAACCGAAGAATTGCGTTCTTATGGCCTTTTTTGTTGAGAAGAAGGTTTTAATTTAAAATTCTTTCAAAAACTGGGGCAAAATTTCTCAATTAACCTTTCTCTGAACTGCGGTTGAATGTTGGAAGTTCATTAAAGCCGCTAGAGTACAATAAAAACGAAAAACTGCGCTCAAATCTTGCGCAAAGAGTCGCCATATGAATGCTGGTCTATCTCGTTATGGAGTGATTTTCAAGACCCGCGACGTTGTCAGTGCTCCTGGCCGTCTCATGAGGATCACAACGATATATAATTTTGCAGGGTTTCGTTGAGACCCTGCGAAGATCCAAGAGCAGAGCCAAATGCCCCGTCGGCTCTGGTCTGTCTCCGCTGCTCGTCTGCGTCTCCGCGCGCTGCGCGCTACCTCGCTACCTCAAATGCGGGGCGCGGGGCATTTGGCTCTGGTACCCTTTTCTTCGTTGTTCGGAGCCCAACTTCGATAATCTATATATCATATTAAAGCTCTTGATCTCTATTTTCACGCTGACAACGTCGCGGAACTTCTTTTTGGGATTTAAACGAGAAATCCTCGAAAAACGGTGTTTTCGAAAACCTCTTGTTTTTTCTTCAGTTTAACTTTTTTCACTCGGTTTTTTTGTGCATTCGATAGGTCTTGTTTCTGTCTATGATGTAGACAACGTCGCCGAGCTTACTTCTTTGCTTATGCCGGATTTTTTGTGAAAAATACAAAAAAGTGCGTTTTTCTTTACCTTGTTCTCTTTCTGTACTTTTGCAGCGAATTTTTTCCAGCTTGGACGATACTTGCTCAGAATGATGAGCGGAAGAATCCAGACAACGTCGCAGCGTACGAAATGACTATGCGGCTGTGAAAATTTGAAGGACGCATCAAAAATCAGATTGGCGTCGATGTGCAACACAACTTTACAGACATGTTTAACATGTTCAATTCAGTTGTTGACAAGTTCTTCTTCTTTCGGTCTCCCAACTAACGCCACAGCTAAACAGCGCTTTTTTTGACTGGAAAAGAACTTTGTTGTTGTTGTCACCCAATTTTAACGGCAATCCTGGAGACGAAACTCTGCGTAGGAAACCACCAAGTTAAGGTTTCAGATTTGGTGATGTGCTAACCTCTGCTTTATATGAATTTTCTAAGTTTTCTAATTTAATTTGTATCTCTAAATTTTCGTCTATTTTTCTGAAACAACCTTCACTTTTTATAGGGGGCAAGAACTCAAACAACTATCACTTTCAAGCCCTTGTCTCTTGACTATCGAAGGTATGATCCAGGTGGTGATGGGCTTACTTTCAGAAAATAGCGCCTTACCATTCTCAAGATTGCTGTCCTGAAGAAGATACTGTAGTTCTACGAGGGATCCTTGCAAAGTGTCATGTAGGCGGCAGAGGTGTAGTGAAGGGAATTGTCGGCAAAATTCCGCAGAAAGATTATCCTCATTTACAGCGAATGAGCAAACAACTAGTGAAATGAAGAAGAATGCAAACCACATGACCTGCAATAAATCAGGTACGAAAATGAGCATGAGGATGTATTGCGAATTGGCACAGTCATGTCGGATATACAAGAAGAGGAAGTGCTCACATCCTAGATCATAAGTATGGCAATTGCCCAGCGCTTTGTAACCAGAGTGTTGCGTATGTGTCGCAGAAATGAAGATGGGAACGAATCGTTGATGAGGAGCATAGGATCGGCATGTGTTAATGTAAGACTAATCACAAATCTGTCCAGAGTCTAACGTCAACTCAAAGGCAGTTGTTGATTCAGTTCTGTTTAATACTCCACTTCTACCTTCGTGTTATATTAAAGTAATGAGGATAGAATTTGGAGTTTTGTATGACCTAGTAGCGGTTTGAAATTCACACTTTTGAATCGCTCATTCAAACTTAAACTAATTTTTTACCTTAATTATGAAAGAGTGATAAGGAAGAGCATACTATGAGACAGATGTGTTTGATTAGCACGTAAGTTTTCTATCTCAAGTCATGCTTGGATCTTCACAAGGCTAAAAAAATTACTTAATACTGGGAACAAAAATGATATTCATTGTCATCTAGACTGCTAACTATTATTTGATAGATCAAAGAAGATAGAATCCCATAAAGTGTTGATCTCTTATTTTCACCACTACCGCCACACTATCTCTACAGTAGTCTGGAAAAGGTGTTGGCGACAGGGAGCTAATTTATCACAGTTATCATAGCCAAACAGCCGCTTTTGAAGGCATACCCTCCTGGAGTGAAAATTGTCATGCCAAGAACATGGATTTAGAACACGTTCTTTTCGTATGCTAGGAATTCAAGTCTTTTCAAAATGTAATGAATGGACATCTGCGAACTAGTTGAACAGAAAGTAAGCGAATAAATGCTTTTAAAGCTATGCATGTTGCAGTTTTATGCAGCAAGAGCAAAAATTCAATATATTTTCTTATGTACTCGATAATATGCTAGAACACTATTATCCTTTGCTTCATATCTTCGATTATGATGCCATTCTGCATCGTAATTCTAGTGAAGAAAAAACTTGCAGCTTCACATATGAGTATAAATGTAGAGGGACGAGGTGTGACTTCAGAAGCAAGTGCTTCTTTGCTACGAAAATCACTACGAAACCCGATTTCGCACTGATCGTGCTCACCCACACATGCTAGATCTAGCGGCCAAGAAATTTAACAGAAGGTTCATCCCGTAAAATTACTGGCAGGGATGTATTAAGTGAAATAGCTAGAGATTAGCGCAGAGCTGCAAAGAGGAGGCGAAGATTAGAAACTAATTCTTGTGAAGTGAGTTGCGGATATCTTTCGGGCAGGTCCAGAAGTTGGGTTATGCCTATGTCTTATTACAGTAATTAAGTCATTTCGTAAACTGCATTTCCATGGTGACATCTTAGAACTGAATTTTCTTATGGGATCTCATTTCGGAATTCATGAGGAAGTTTCTATGGGTTGCAAAAAATTTTGGTATCAAGTAATATTTAAGATAGTGTAGAGTTGACGAAAAAATCCAAACGAACTTAATGCAATGTAACGTTTATCTTCGAGATGTAATCCGTTTTATATAGCTGGGCTCAACTATCCTAATGGATGTGATTGATTTGAATCGGAAATGATGATGACAACTAGCCGGACCTCCTTCATCTCCCTTGCGACACCTTACTAGATTTATTATAAAGGTCTTGCCAGATGATGTCATAGGCTGGGGGTCCTATTAAACTAGGGAATTTTCAGAGAAGCAGGACAAAGGACTATAATATACTAGATAATATCAGTTTTCTATTAGATCCCATACCAGCACATGCTGAGCATGCAGACGTTGTCATTACGAAGTAGGCAAAAGTATTTGTAGGAACAACTTTAGCGAATAAGATTTCAAACCAATAAATTAATCAAGCTTTTGAGCTGCTACGAACCTCTCATTTCCAAGCAGCATTTGACAATCCTACTACATTTGCACGAACCTTTTATCTTCCAAGTTCCTAGACATAAATGTAGAGAATTTTTAGTATGAGGAATAAAGCGCATCAGTTTACTAAGTTGGAAAGAAATGAATGTCGGTTTTTCCGGGTTTTTCAGCTAAAAAATAAGGCGTATTCAAGGCCTTTTATGTTTGTAGTTTCGAAAGTTTCTAGTATACAACGACAATTACGGGAAGAACCCAGGACCACAGGAGGCGAAGTTTGCCAACATTTTTCAGTTTTCTTCTCTATTTCTAAGCATAAAAATTTATAGCGAATATACTCAAGAATAAGTGCATGTGCCTCTTACATGCAGGGACAAGTGAGAGGTTCGTAGGAATTTTGGGGCGAAAATTCAATTTTTGGCACCATGAGTTGTTCTTTTGTTTTGGATCTAAACTTTGCGTAAGTCATGACTTCAGCCAAGGTTCGTAGATCTTGTAGAGCTTCTTTTGGTCTATCGCACGATACCCCACACCAGTGGCGGTCCGAGAAATTTTTTTCGGGGGGGGGGGGGGGCGCGACAAAAATTTTTTTCTAAAAAAGGTGCGTGGCGTCAGCCACGCACTCCGAAAAAATTTTTGGGGTGCTTCTCAAAATTTTTGCGGGTCCCCGACCCCTAAAATCTGGAAAAAGGGGGCGTGGCGTCAGCCACGCCCCCGAAAAAAATTTTTTTATAAGGCTAAAATGAATTTTTAGAAAATTTTAAAAATTATTTTAATTATTTTCAAGTGCAAACAAGTCGTTTGCACAATTTTATAACCCATATAGGTAAGTTTCAAAAATTTCGCGACCCATTCTCGGGGGGGGGGGCGCGCGCCCCCCCCCCCCCCCCCGCCCCCCCCTCGGTCCGCCACTGCCCCACACATATCCATTTAGAGTCGTTTTATTGCTCTGCTATGAAAAAAGACATTCTTTTCTTTCCAATCTATTAGTTACCAAGCCATAAACAGTCCAATGATTAATCCGAGCTTGTACTTATTTTTCTGATGAGAAATTTTATACATATAAAGCCAGTTCCACATGGCAAGAATATCAAATGAGTACAGTCGTTTTCAATACGTATTGGTTTTTTCTACCGTATGCCTTCCAGCCTCAACATGACGTGGATTGGTGTGGGTGTGGATTGGTGCGGCGCCGCCGAGAAAAGCAACGCGGCGCAAACCCGAAGCCATGCGGCGCCTCACCGATCCATACCAATCCACACCAATCCAAGTCATGTTGAGGCTGGAAGGCATAGGTAGAAAAAACCAATACGTATTGAAAACAACTGTACTTGTCAACAAGTCATTTGTGGTGCTAAGCAATCCGCGGTTGATTTTGAATGAAATCAGTATGCAGGTAGGAGGAAGGGCACATAGATAATGAAACCAATGCGAGCGTGTGCGAGGCGATACTGTCCACTTCTTCTTCCACATCTGAACCAGATAAGCACAAATGCAGCACCATCAGCACTGTATGTGTAGCAGCAGCATCCCATCAATTCACATCGTTATACACCACTACTGTGCTAGAGATGGGGGGGGGGGGGGCAAGCGTTAGGCGACAAAACGTGCAAAACGCAAGCAACGTAAATCCCGCAACTCAAAACTATGCACCATTTTTTCATTGGCGTCGGGTAATGTATCGGCCCGGACCCCCACCCCCTGTTTTTGGCGGGGGAGACGTTTTGCATGGGAAGTTCTTTGGGGTCCAAAAAATTGGGTTTGTCGCCTAACGCCCTACACCCCTAGAGATGCAGCACTACCAAGCAACACCATCTGCACCAATCCGCGACATCCTCTAATAGACCACATTGCAGCTGCCAACACCATCACTACCAATCCACACTATTCCACACCAACTCCCTTACCGCATATGACCATCCACATCATTCCATGATAACTCCAGCACTGTAGTCGTAGCAACAGCATTCACACTAATCCGCAACATTCTGTACCATCCCACATTGCAGCTGTCAACACCAATCACTACCAATCCATACTGTTCCACACCAACTCCATCAGTGCACATGCAGCACCATCCACATTATTCCATACTGACCCTAGCCCTGCGGTGGTAGCAGCACCATTCACACTGCTCCGCAACATCCTACATCATCTACAGCCGCCAACACCATCCACTACCAATCCATACTGTTCCACACCAACTCCATCAGTGCACATGCAGCACCATCCACATTATTCCATACTGACCCCGCCCTGCGGTGGTAGCAACACCATCCACACTGCTCTGCAATATTCTACAGGGGTTTTCAATCTGAGTGTCACGGTCGACGTGGTTCACTCCCTCGACAGCCGCGTCGCTTGGGTCTCTCACGTGGTACACTACCGCACTCGATAACGCGAAGGCCTCAGCGGATGCAGCATTGCGCCACGTGAGAGACCCATGCGAGGCGGTTCGCAAGGACCTGAGCCACGTCGACCGTGACACTCAGATTGAAAGCCCCTGTACATCATCTACAGCCGCCAACACCATCCACTACCAATCCATACTGTTCCACACCAACTCCATCAGTGCACATGCACCATAATCCACATCGTCCATATTAACTCCAGCACTGCACTTCTAGCATCACCATCTACACTAATCCGCAACATTTCACACCACTCCAGCACTGCAAATGCAGCACCATCCTCATCACCACATCTATTCCAACACTGTAGATGTAGCAACACCATGGATATCAATAGCAACATTCTACGCCAACCTGCACTGCAGCTGCCAATCCACACTATTCCACACCAACTTAGCACTGACAATGGGTATCATTATCCATATTCGTTTCATGCAAGTCTCACACCGCACTGCAGCTACCAGAATAAGCAAGCCACACCGTCCACACCACCCAGCACTGCAGATGCAGCGGCTTCATGCGAATCCATCCACTTCACTACGCATTGTCCCACCATCCACATCCACATTCACATCGTGCCGCGCCACTCAGGCAGTGCAGGTACGCTTTCACATCCAGTCATTCTACACCAACATCAAGATTCAGATGCAGCAAAACCATCGTTCGTTCTTCGCACACCACCCTTCCCC